TTTCTTTTGTGCTAACTTGTATTTGGTTGATACGTAGTAATTCGTATTTGTGTAATTTCTATTCAACGCGATTTGATAGGAACTGCATTTATTAACTGTTAATTTTTGTTGTATTTTTTGTTTGTTATCTTTGTAATCTGTGCTCAAGCCGCGTCGTAATTTGCATTTAATAGTGATGACATCGCCCAAGCTACTGATCCGTTGTTTGCGGACTGAGCTACGCTGGGCCACAAGCGCCCATGCTTTGATAGGTCGACCGGATAGGGTCCATAACTTGATGAAGCGGTTCGAGCAGGTGGATGCTCGAAGGGCCGCAGTGGAGGAGGCTTATGCTGAGCTCGAGGATTCGGATGTGGAGAAGGGAGTCCTGGACTCCTGCTTCGCGGACTATGAGCAGTTCTTGTGGCTCACGGACGAGTTGATCGAGGCTGAAGGCAGGTATGCCGAGGAGGCGCGTGAAGCTCGGATGAGTGACCTGTCCGAGTCCTCTCTGAAGCAGCTTCAGCTGGAGCTGTTGGGACGACTCCCAACTCTGGACCTGCCAAAGTTCTCCGGGGTCCTTTCCGAATGGCTGACCTTCGTTGGTCTTTTCGACAGCCTAGTGGACGCCCGGAGTGACTTGACCCCGAGCCAAAAGATGGTGTACCTCCTGGCATCACTGGAGGGGGAGGCCCTGGGCGTCGTCGGCCACTTGAGATTGTCGGACGACGCCTACCAGACTGCTCGGGACCTCCTAGCCAGAAGATACGCCAACGTCCGGCGAATTGCGGACGAACATGTTAAGCAGCTTCTAAGCCTCCCGCTGCTTAGTGACCGGGCCAGACTGCGTCCGGACCTGTTGGATCCAGTCTTGGTGGCCTGTAATACGTTGAGGCGGCTGGGTTTACCAGTGGGCGAATGGGCTTTTTTGTTGCTCCGCATCGTGCTGTCCCGTCTACCTCTCGACCTTCGAATCCATTTTGAGGAGAGGTACGGCGGGGACGAGGCCTCCTATATTCCGCCCTTCTATGACCTGCTGCGGTTTTTGGAGGAGCAGTGCTGGCGGATGGAGAGCGCGGCGGGCACCGTTGACGACTTACGAGCCGTGCCCAGTGAGAGGCTGAATCCTCCAGGCAAGTCGTCGTCAACCCCCCCATGCTCCTATTGTCGAGCATCTGATCATCGGGTAACGTCGTGCCCGAAATTATTAGGTAAGCCGGTTACAGCGAGGCGAACTATCGCCAAGGAGCGCCGCTGGTGCTGCTCATGTTTGGGAGGACACCTCCAGCGAGACTGTCCGCATCGGCGGCCCTGTCTGCATTGCCAGGGCAATCATCATGCCGTTTTGTGCGTGAGTGCGAACGGCGTCTCCTCTCGGGGCTCTGCCAGGCCCTCGACCCCCACGGGCGGGGGCGCTCAGCCACGCCCTCTGCCGGGCGACTCTCGGCGCCCGCCGGCCAGCCATCAGCCCCCTAAGTTTGAAAGGGGTCCCTCCCCCGACCAGTCGGGGGGTAATTCCCCCAGGGGCGGGGGTGTCATCACCCCCCCTAAGCGTGTGGAGAGGAACTTCACGGCCACTCATCGGTCCGCTGGACCCTTCTCACTCCCGTTAGCTGAGTGGCCGCGACTGGTGTACCACTGTTCCCCATTTGATGGAGGCGGCCCTGGCTAGCTGCCGCCTTAGCTCCCACCACGGCCACCTCCACTGAGCCTTAAGCCGTCAACAGTCCACTTGTCAAAATGTTCTATTGCCGACGGCCTCAGTGAAGGCGTACAACCCGAGTGGCGACTGTTAGCGATCTCGGGTTCACGCCATGTGGCCTCCCCTTGGTGGTGGGAAGATTAGGGCCCCTCTGGAGCGTTGAATCACGCTGTCAAGGGGTATTAGATTTGGTCTGGTCGAGCACTTAGTTAAAAAATACTTTGAATTAAAATTAAAAAATGCTTTGGGCTTTCCGCGAAATTTTCCTATTTGTAGCGGTTTAAATTAAAAGAATTGAATTTAATCTACTCCTTTAAATGCTACTGCATGTGTTTTGTAAATATATTTAATCACTGTATTTGATTGTTGCGTCTGTTTGCCGAAAGGAAAATTTGAATTCATCTGAAATTGAATGGCGCACTATTTGAAAAATTATGTTTATGTTTATGATAGTGTTTAATCATTTTGCTTTGCGAAGAAGTAGGGCTGTCCCTTACTTTATTGTTTTGTTTAATTTGCAAGTTGACCTATGCGCATCGGTGATTAATTTGGTTGAATTAATTCTGTAGTTGATGATTGATGCTTTTGAAAAATTAGTTGAAATATGAGCATAGGACTACTTGTCTAACAGGCTAGCTAGTTTGGAGATTATCAGATTGAAATCAGCTGCCGCACTATTTTAGTAAATGATAATATGGTGGGTGGCCTGGCTAGGCCTACTTGTTGAAAATTCATACTAGGGACTATCTGTGCGTTTCGTTCGGCTCTCCACAGACGACGTTCATGTGGAATTTGTGGGTGCTCTCTGCACTGAAGCTTAGGAGGCCGCTCGGGGCCGCTTCGTGTCGCGTCGCTGTTTGCAGAGCTGATCCGGTCGGATTGCGGAACTAATCATAGGGGCACAGATAGGTGTTTGAAAGAGGTCGTCGGACTTCTGTCCAGTACAGGACTTGTTAAGGTGCTGCGATGCCCAGGAGGGGCATCCAGTGGAGGCTGACCCTCCGGCTTGCCACATTAGGGCTATTTTTTGAGGCGCTGGTTAGGGTTGCAAGATCTGATGGGGTGTCTAAGGTGGCCTAGTTTGGTTGTAGATTCGGTCTTGCAACTTGCCTTCGCGACCTTGTCCCGCTGACCGGTTTGCTCGCGGACCTAAATCCTTATGTCCGGGACGGGGGTTTGTTCGCGCAAAACACTTTCAAGGATTGACGCGAGAGGGCGCTCGGCGCGGTGCATTCATACCGGTTTGACTTTCGGTCGTGCGAAAAACGCCCAAGGGCAGTCAGTCGTCTTTAATCGGTGCTGACGTGAGCACGCGGTCCATTCTGTTAGGGAACTCGGAATAATTCGGCGCGGCCAGTAAATATACGGTCTATCATTGTGACGCGCATTCCTACTGGAGAGCTTCCCGGGACTTATTGTGTCTGACTCAGAACCTGCATAAGTGCATTCGGCAATATTAGATAGTGCGGCCTCTGATATTCTAGAATTAACTATTGCTACGCGAAACGGTAGTGACCTTTGACCCTTTAAACTCCGTGTGCGTTTGTGCGGTAACCATTATACCCAGCGATAGTTAGTGGCTTCTGTAAGTTAGTAAATCGTACGATAGAGTTAATTGACTGTCAACGTGACGAAAGAAGAAAGTGACTGTGGACAACCTCGAAAGGCGCCCTCAAGTTGGAGCGGTGTCGACGCTCGGGCTGCTGCCGACGGCCAAGGTATAGGTTCAATCACCATCAGTCACACCCAGATACACACCACATCACCATTCCTTCCCTTGCACTACACAACCACATGCTACCTGACCGACTCCGGAGGGACCAGTCGCCTTGGATAGGTAAGTAAGCTTCATCCAAATTCCTTCCGGTCGACTGGCCGTAGTATAACGCTCCCCCATATATTTTAATGTAATTAGGAATTTCCACGTGGCCACATTGGGGCCCGACCTACGTCTGTTCGGGAAATCTTCAGCTCATGGGCCCCTGAAGATTGGATCCTTTAAGGGAGCAGCCGTAGGCCGTAACACAATACATGCAATATAGTTTAGGCAATTTTATGTAAACCTCACTGTGTAAAACTGTCAATAAATTCCCAACAAGGACGGTATACTCCTTGTTGGAAAATCATAAAAAAAAGTCATACATTTTGACGTGAGTTGAACTACGTATTGTGGCTAGGAATGTCAAATGAAAAAAATATATCGATATATATCGCGTGATAAATATAGTGATAAATATTTTGCTGACGGTTGAACGACGAAAAAAAAAGACAACTGCACATATTGAATACTTTTCTAGCTGCTTTTCTTAAGGCCTGTTTTCACTTTGATTAGTGCGAGTGCAGGTGATTAGTAATTGCGGTTGATTACTGCAGGTGTGTAGTTTAAGTAAAAGCCTGTTTTCACTTTGATTAGTGCGAGTGCAGGTGATTAGTTTTGCGGTTGATTGGTGCAGGTGTGTAGTGTAAGTAGTGTCCAATTCTGTTTAGTGGCTATGTTTAGTAAATTCAGTTGTTAGCAGTTGACCAGGAAGTATGGACATTTTTTTAACAGAAGCGAGCGTCCGACGCTAAACGCTAAACACTAAGCACTGCTGTTCAAACGTGTTTAGTGGCAGGCATGCTGCGAGTGAGGGGAAAGGAAGGGCGCACGGGGCGTGACACTCGCAGTCCACTCGCAAAAAATAGAACACGCTTCTAATCACTTTACTACACAGGTTATTAATCTCTTGCACTAATCAATTGCTGTCCACACGTGTTTACTCCTAAACACTAAGCACCTGCACTAGTCACCTGCACTAACCACTAATCAAAGTGAAAACAGGCCTTAATGTCCAATACTGTTTAGTGGCTGTGCTTAGTAAATTCAGTTGTTAGCAGTCGACCAGGAAGTATGGACATTTTTTTAACACACGCGAGCGTCTGACGCTAAACGCTTAACACTTAGCACTGCTGTCCAAACTCCAAACGTGTTTAGTGTCAGGCATGCTGCGAGTGAGGGGAAAAGAAGGGCGCGCGGGGCGTGACACTCGTAGTCCACTCGCAAAAAAATAGAACACGCTTCTAATCACTTTACTACATAGGTTACTACACACAGGTACACTAATCACTAATCAAAGTGAGAACAGGACTTGACTTCATGTTTTGTCTATTAATACAAAATTTTAAACATCGACGATATATATCGATAACTTTATGAGAAAATATCGATATATCGCTTTTTTTGCCACACAGATTAATAACAACTAGTTGTTAGTAGTGACTTGTGACGTGATTGATTTTTTAATGGTCGGGTTGTAGTGGATAAAACGTTATTTTCGAAATGAATAAGAAAGATGATGGATCATGTTTTGATTATAAATCGACACCTCCCACAAAAAATAAGAAAGTGCGCAATCCATTTGATAAGGCCTTAATAGAGAGCTTGCATAAACCTATTTGTAGGTAAGTTCCTGATATGTGTATTTGTTTTTGATATGTATTTCATACTATTCATGAAGTTGTAGAAATATGTTTACCAAGAAACTTTGCTTTTACTTTAGCCCCGGAATGTGCAAAATCTACAAAAAGAAAAATAACGCGGGGTTTAGGTGGGACATAGACCAAGCTTGTGCCTTAGTGCCAGCTGATATAGTTGCATGTAATAGCCAATTTGAACCTTCGCCTGATCCTTTGCTGGAAAAAATTGCAGAGGAAGCAACAGAAAGGTAAGGATTAATAATTAACTAAACATGTTAAATCATCCACCTAGGAAATTAACAAATATGTACAGCATCCTTGTAAGTTCTATTGTTTGTATTTTTATGTACTTATTGATTGATTTTGAATTCTGATACACAAAAATTGCCTATAAATGTTTTTGTATGTATTAGACATGTTGTTTAATGTTATTTTAGATTTTTTTCGCAAGAAATGGTGATGCCTAGTCCTCTTGAGTCATCTAAAAAAGTAAAACCAGTACTGCAAGAATTGCTTGAACCTAGTATTAAAGTAATCAATACAAAAGAAGAAAACGATAATAAAAAAGATGGTATGTTTCTATTTTTTATTTTTTAAATAAACTATTTATTCTATTGGTTTCAATTTTAGTTTCAGCACAAACTGTTCTCACTTTACCTCCAACCCTGCCTCCTGAAATTGAAAATGTTTTACAGCAATTTTGCACCTTCACACAGGTATAATACTTTAAAATTAACTTTTTTGTGAGATATTAATTTAAAACAATCTTAATACACTTTTGTCTATATTTTTAAGGAGCAAAATGTATCAGGTGATTATGAGATCACTGTAAATGGCTCACTTCGAAGGAAGCTATTCTTTGAAGAACACAGTGACATAGAACATTCTGACTCTGAACACACTGATGATGAAGTGCACATAGAACCTCGTCCACCATCCAGTTATGAAGCACACTCTCCTATTGTTATTAGTCCTGATTTGGTGAGTACAGATTGGTAATATATTAAGCTTTCTTCTTCTTTCTCTGGAAATCCTCTAGGGAAAAAAGAAAACACTTGTGTTATCATTGACTTTTATTTTAATGAAATTCATTAGTTTATAATTTTTATTTATTACATCATTGTTGAATTATATGAAACTGCTGCAAAAAGAAAAATAAGTTTTTTTTATAGACTAAGGGGGGTGTGAAAGTTTATGTAATGCAATTTTTGAAGATTTTTGAACCTCCCTCCCCCTATGTAACACGCCTTAACGTTTTTCTGTAAACCCCCGCCCCAAACGTTACGTAACACCCAACTGATAATTTTTACCTCACAATTATGTCGCGCAAAGTACAGGAAAGTCGCTAAAATACCTCTGTTATTGTTTTAATCTCATTTGTGGTAATAATAAATAAAACAAGAGATTTCTAACTCGCAATACATGCCTATATTGTTTATTTCATTTATTCATATTGTTATATAAGAAACAATCAGACATAATGTAATAAACTTTTGATTAATTTTAACAAATACTGACAATATAGTCGAGGGATTCCCCGGAAACATACACGAAAAGAGTTGCCAGCGTGGGAGATTTTAATTCCCCAGTTTTTTATATAAATAAAAAAAAGCAATGTTACGTAACACATTGTTCGTTGTCCAAGAGGTCAATCAGTGCATCAAACTGGGCAGCTTTTGGAATTAAGATACATCTTCTTGTCACTTGTACCTCAAAACTTGAAAACAAGAGTGTACAACGAGTGCATGTTGCCCGTGATGATATATAAAAAAGCTCAAGGTTGCTCAGTGAACAATGGAGAGTGCTATGCTAAGAGTTTCTCTGTATGATAGATGTACATCTGTAGTAGAACCAGAAATGTGTAAAGGAAGGTTCTTGAGTGGTAAAGTGTAGGATGTTTCTCCACTAGATGAAGTAGTGGAGTGGTGACCTGGTAAGAAATGCAGGAAGTCAATGCATGCAGATCAGTCAGCACTATGCTTTGTGACATTTATTGTGGTAGGGCTGTGTTCAGCAGTGGACTTGTGATCGTTTATGACTTTCTAAACAGGAAAGATTTATAGTAATTTCAACCATAAATAAACATACTGTCAATTGCAATGTAACAGCTCATCTTGTGTCTGACATTTACAACTACACCTTTTACATTGTAGGTACTTATTCGTTTCCAAATTGTGTTGGAAGCTAAGTTTATTAAATTTAGTTATCACTATTGTCAGATTACAGGCTAGTTTGGCCAAAACCAATAACGATAGTGCAGCATTTGCTGTCCAAAAATAAATTTCTAGCACTAGCAACAATAGATATAACAAAGAGAACTATTAAAGGTCCAATTAGTGACTACAGCATGCACTGGAATAATCTATTTGAATTTATATCTAGTTTGACCATAAATTTTGTAATTACGCCACCACTGTAGAGAGGTCAAGGAGAGAGGACATGACCCAGCTGAGAGTTAGCTGTTGGGACAGACTGATGGAAGACATCTCGCCCTCACATCCTTCCTTCTGGCAGTTGGCAAAAGCTCTGAAATCAGAAAATGTCGCTCCGATGCGCCCATTAGTTACATCTGATGGTCACCTCGTGTATGATGACTCGGAAAAGGGCGAATGCATAGCAGATAGCATCGAGAGCCAATGCTCTCCCAGCACTCTGCCAGTTGACCCCGTCCACCTGAATAAGGAGGACCAGGAAGCAACTAATCTATCCGCCACATCACCAACTGATGGTCCCCTTCCTATCGTTACTCTCGATTAGGTAAAAACTACCATCAAAAATATCAAGCCTCAAAAAGCACCAGGCGCTGATGGCAATAATAATAACGTCTTACCTTTAAAATTAATCTGCCTTCTAGTGGCCATCTTCAATGTCTTATTATCCATCTGCACTTTCCCTGATGTGTGGAAAGAAGCAGGTTTTAACAAACTGAACAAACCCAGAGATAGCGCTTCCAGTTATAGGCCCATCAGTCTCCTTAGTTATTTAGGGTAAATCTATGAGTGCATCATCTGCAGCCGTCTGAAGGATGTAATGCTAGACAAAACCTCTTTTTTTATAGGAGAGGGGGCAAACGAGCATGCGACTCACCCGATGATAAATGACTACCGCCGCCCACGAACAACTGCAATACCAGGGGAACCAGGGGAATTGCAGATGCGTTACCGGCTTTTTAAAAAGGAATAGGCTCTTTTTCTTGAAGGTCGTAATCGATTCCACAAGGAAGTTGTGCGAGGAAGAAAACTACTTCTAAATCGCACAGTGGTGGACCACCAATCATCCAGATGGTATGGATGGTATCGCGAGTTTTGTCGCAATGTGCGATGGTGAAATCGAGCGGCTGGAATTAGTCCGAACAATTCCTCAGAGCACTCCCCGTGGTAAATGCGAAAGAAAATGCAAAGGGAAGCAATATCTCTTCGCAGTGCCAGTGAATCGAGCCGATCGGAAAGGACTCGGTCGTCGACGATTCGAGCCGCTCTGCGCTGGATGCGGTCAAGTGGAAGGAGCTGGTACTGGGGAGCCCCTGCCCAGAGACGGGGACAGTATTCCATGTGAGGCTGAACCTGCGCCTTGTAAAGTTGCAGGCGGTGTGCCGGCATGAAATACTGTCCCTCTCTGCTGAGCACGCCAAGCTTTTTAGAGGCCAATTTGGCGTTCTCTTCCAAGTGACCACGAAACTGCACGTCACTCGATATGTCGACTCCGAGGATTCCGATACTGGCTGAGGCAAGAAGGGGAGTACCTTCAAACTGAGGAGATACGACAAAGGGGTTCTTTTTAGTGGTAAACGCGCAAACTTGTGTCTTTTGAGGATTAAACTGGACTAGATTTAGTCGCCCCCAATCCGAGACTTTGTTCAACAGAGACGACATCAGACACAAGTTTGTTCCGGTACTCGGCGACGTTATCCCGAGAAATATTGGCACCGGTGTATAGAGCATCACCAGTGCTGTCATCCGCATAGCAATGAATGTTTTAAGCTTGTAATGCCACTTACAAGACTCCACAGAATTAGTAATTCATTTATGGGGCAATGTATACGCTTTTACAACAATCCCAGAACATGTTCAAAGTTTGTCAATAAACAAGTTTAAAAGTTTTATTAAAGAAAAACTGTACAAAAAGGGTTATTATAATATCAAGGAATACATGAATGAAAATAACCCCTGGGAATAAGGTGATCGCCACCATGCTGGTTCTATGAAAATTCATTTAAAATTGTATAAACAAAATTATTGTTAAGTGAAATTATGTTTAAAAAAAAAGTCCCGCTGGGTTTCTTGCTGGTTCTTCCCAGGACAGAGGTATTTTCCGAACCAGTGGTAAATAAAATAATGACTTTCAATAAGTATTATGTAATAATCCATATTGAATAAAAATCATTCTATTCTATTCTATTCTATTCTATGTTACCAGTTAGCAACATATCATTGATATGCAGAAGAAACAGCGTTGGTGATAGCACACAGCCTTGTGGAATGTCAGCGTTAATAGGCTTGTAGTCGGAGCATGCAACGTCTACAACGACCTTGATGCTCCAATTTGCAAGGAAGCTGGTGATCCAATCGCACAATTTCTCGGGAAGCCCATAGGAAGGGAGCTTCGAAAGAAGCGCTTTGTGCCAAACCAGATCGAAGGCCTTCGCAATGTTCAAACTAACGCCCAACGCCTCCCCCTTGGACTCTACTGCCTCCGCCCATCTATGAGTCAGGTAGACCAGAAGATCACCAGCTGATCGACCCCGACGAAAACCGTATTGGCGGTCACTAATCAGCTGGTGATCCTCAAGGTACCTCATGAGCTGGCAGTTAATAATGGAATCCATAACTAACATATCTAACAAAAGCTGTCTTCCATGATTTCGGGACTACGCCTAGGAAGTAGGAGTACCGGAAAAGACGTGTTAGAAACGGTGAGCACACGTCCTCAGCACAATTGGGGGATTCCGTCAGGTCCACTCGACTTGTGGATGTCCAGGGAGAGGAGTGCTTTGCGAACCGAGCGCTGTGAGAACCGCACATCCGGCATGGAGCACTCACACCGCGGGATGGTCGGCGGTGTGTTCCCCCCGTCATCAAGAGTCGAGTTGGACGCAAAAAGGGAGCCTAAAAGATCGGCTTTCTCTTTTGCGGCATGGGCCAGTGAGTCGTCCTCCCTGTGCAGAGATGGTAGTGATGGCTTACAGAAATTCCCTTGTACAGCCTTGTCCAGAATGCTCGGGTTCCCGAAGGAAGGCGAACTAGTTTCTCGCCAATTCTGCCTATGTGCTCTGACTTTGCCTTGGCAATAACTCTTTTGAAGGACTTGGAGGCGAAGTTATACTTCTATTTAAGCATGCTGGTGTTTACATCCCGAGTCGCCGAAGTCGCAGCCCAGGCTTGATAACACTCCTGCTTACTGCGTAATGCAGTCTTACAGGAGCGACCAATCCAAGGCTGAGATCTGCCTCCGATGGGTACCACAGATGATGGAATAAATATTTCCATTCCCTGTAGCACCACATCAGTGACAGAGTCAGCAACAGTGCTGGGATCATGTGGCGAGAAGCAAACCCGCCCCCATGGGTAGGATGCAAAGAAAGATCGCATTCCGTCCCAATCCGCCGACCTGTAATGCCAAACACGGCGGCAACATGCAGAATGCAACCGCGAGGGGAGCGTGAGTGTCAGCCAGGGCTACGTAGCTACCGCCGTATCAGCCGTATCAATGATACGGGGCCCTCGAGCTACAGGGGCCCCGAGAGTGTATAAACAAAAATTCTGTCTAAAAAAAAGTAAAAAAAAGAGCTATTGTCTATAGAGGCAGAAAATTTAGAAAAACTGAAATCATCTTCAGCTATGAATGATAAAAAATAAGTTTAATAACAAAAGGCAAGAATATTTTGGAAAAACCAGAAGTGCACGCCTTTTGAGCGTTTCATTTAATTTTCACGAAAAAAGTAAATTGTATTCCTGACTTTTAAAATATATTATTTACGTGTTTTAAATTTAGAGCTCTATTATTTTAACAGGTAGTGTCACCTACAGGAAAAAAATAATGATGTTTACTAAATTAAGTCGATTACACTAACTTTTTTTATGTGGTAGAGCCGTGCTGCAGCTATATTAGTAGTATAGTTGTAGCACGAATGGGTCGGCTCGACCGGGGAAGGACCACGCTCTCACAGAATAGCAGCGTAAAATCCCAGCTGGACGCTGCTGTGTTTCGTATGGTGAGTGTAGACAACCGGAGACCCTTTTTACTGGAAAAGAGGCATTCCATTATAGTCCTCACGGGTAACGATGCATCTGCATTTTGATTCTTTATTGAGGATAAATGTAGATGTCTATGAGTCACAGCAACCACTTACCATCAGGTGAACTGTGTGCTCGTTTGTTACCCTTATTCTATAAAAAAAAAACTATAAAATCGATATAGGCTGTTTAATACATGTGTCCTTTGTCTACCAAGGACTAAAAAAATTAGTAATCCTGACGTCCACGTAATTTTTTTTTCAAACCGTTTTTTTTTTAAAGTAACAATGTAAAATGATTTTGTAGAAAAGATGGATTAATTAGAGTGTTTTCTTGTTACGGCTACTCATATTATCGTATACGCATTATTCTGTGGTATAAGTGCAATATGGTTATGATAGAGACATTTTAAGAACACTAAATCGCTTTACCTTGGCGTGTCGACAGTAAAGCACTACCGAATAACGCTTTGCGTTATGAGGCATGCAAAAGTGTATATTTGATTTGAATTGTTTGGCTAGTTTAGTTCCTAGGAGTATTGCAAGCGTCTTTGTTCCCTTTGGGAAAAATCTTTACTCTTCATTTGGGCCCCCCAATAAATTTTGATACGGGGCCCGTCTAAGGCACGCTACGCCACTGGTGTCACCACACTCCGGATCAGACAATGGTCTGAAGAGCCCAGAGGGGCATCGACGGAAACCTGATATCCGTCCGGATGAGAGGTCAGCAGAAGGTCTAACAGGGAAGGTGTATGATCCTCCACATCTGGAATCCGCGTAGGCGAAGTAACCAGTTGTGTCAGACCATATGCCAAGGCAAAATCATAAACAGATCTCCCCGCATAATCGGTTAAACGTGAACCGAGCTATTCGGCGTGGTGGGTGTTAAAATCGCCAAGGATCACGATCTCTGCGGATGGGACCTGTTATAGCAAGGAATCTGTAGCCATTTGGATGTGGTCGATGAGTCGGTCTGTTTCGGCATTACCGCTATGGGACCTATAGAGGCACCCGTAGACGTGCGGATGGTCGTCTCTGTCTACGCGTAGCCAAAGAATGGACAGGTCCGAACCTACAAGACTGCCGAGGCGTCGAGAACAGATGACCTCTCTGACGTATACGCAAACTCCAGCCCGAGGCACAAAGGAGTGCTCCAATTTGTACCCCGGGTAGGAGAGATATGAAGTATCAGCCGGAGAGGACACCTGCGTCTCGGTCAGAAAGAACAAGGCCGGCTTTGCCGTCTCGAGATGGTAGTGGACTGCGTTTAGTTTCGAGTGAAGTCCCCTGATGTTGCAGATATTCACGGATAGCGTGGCAGGGGTCGCCTTGGTATTGTTGCTCAGTTTGCACCGAGCAGTTATGTTTTTGAGCGGAATTTTGCCGCCCCCCCCCCCCCCCCAGAATACTCGGGGCAGTCTGAGCACCCACGCTCAGGAGTGGAATAACATGGTCGTGGATGCTCAGTGAGGGATTCTCCAGGGGTGCTGGTACCCTCCTGGAGTAGTCTTTGATGTAATTCCGCTACTATGTTGATGGACCTGCACTCATCAGACGAAACGCAGAAGCAGAGCTTCTACTTCACGCCGGTATTATGTGAGGTCGTGGTACCAACCCGGCTCGAGCCGGCCCATACGTGCAACAGCAAAAGCTGTCACGTGGCTCTACCACCGTTAAATCTTGAATTGAATCCCAACAAGTAGTTTGGCTTTCGAACCAAACACTCATGTGTCCAACAGGTGCACCTCCTCATCTAGTATGTCTTACATTACGCCCCAAATTCGAACAGGCGCACTGCATTTACAGGTGCTCTGTTCTTTGATTTGGCTAAGGCCTACGATAAGATTTATAAACTTCTTATAGGTATGCCTAATAAATTTTTTAATAACATAATATAATAAGACTTGTTTAAGTCATTCTAGACTTTCTCTTCAATCGCTCGTTTCGTTTTCGCGTCGAGGAGTCTTTATCCTCTTCCAGACCCTACAGGGCAGGAGCTCTCCCTGACTCTTTACTCACTCTATGTGAGCGATATCCCTATGATGCCCGATACTCATCTTGCACTATATGCAGATGACACAACTATATATTCATCAGCTAATAACAGGTTCAGAGTATGCATTCGGCTCCAAACTGCAGCATATGCACTAGGCTAGGCGATTGGTGCAGAAAATGGAGAATGTAACACAATCCTTATAAAAGCAAAGTTATCATGTTTACCTTGAAAGCTTGCTATAAAAAGTTACTACTTAGGCTTAAGCAACATAACAAAGGAACAATCTCCCTCTACCATAGCTCAATCACTTGGGTTAGAGATGTGTAGAACAAAATAATAAATATAGCTATGTGTAAAAGAAAATAATAAATAATATTGCTGCTAAAACCCTGTCGCAAATTATTAATCAAGGCATGATAATACTAGGTTAGTAGTAGTAGGTAGCTTAGGACCTCCCTTTCATTGATTAAAATGCTTGCTGTCCAGATGTGCTGGTGGAAGCATCTACTTTTATAAAAAAGAAACCCTTTTGGGATCTTTAAATAAGTCCAAACCCAAGTATGACCTCTGGATAGAAGTCGAGTTATTGTAAGCTCATTCTAAATAGATCACATTTAAATTAAATTTTCTCAGGTTCTTTATAATGAACCTGAGAACAATTTACATATAAGCATATTTTGTAAAATGCATCTAATGGAATTTATAGACCAATTACTTTTAGTCTTCATACATATATAGTGTTTTGATTATATTATACATATTAAAGCCATATTTCTTATTTTATTTTTATATATATTTTTCTACTGTAAATGTGTATATATATTTTTAGAGTCAAGATTTAGTGGCAAAGGGTTTGAAAAGAACTTTTGGAACTCCACTGAATAAAGAAGCTTCAGGCACTAGCAAGCCCAGTTATCGTAATAAGATGTTGGATGTTGTTGACTTCGGTGAGCCATGCTTCAGCCCCATAGATTTCCATACACCGAAGCGCAATGACCAAGCATCTGCCACGTCATCTTCTCTCGCTTCTGCATCTATTTCACCTGTGAACAAAGCGTCAAGCGATGAAGAGGTAAGTCTTTGCACTGTCTTTTTACCTGACTACCTAAGAAGGAGGTTTGTGATGTTTATGTGTTCATGGGTGTTCGCTTATACCTCAAGAAAAACAGTGCTATCAGCCATAATGTTAGTAATCCATAATATTAATGCCAGTAATACAGAATATAATAATGTTCATTCAATATAGATAACCATTCAGCTACGAAGACTATAACCCCCCCAACTCCGTTGACTGCGGAACTGTTTAATAAAACGGACGGCTGATTGGGCGCAGTTCGTCTTAACTCAAATTTATTGATAACATGTACACATTTCTGAATTCTCTATGAAATTTCCTATAAATGGCTACATAAATTTAATAAAGTCCCAAAGTAATTAGTGTAAGTAAATGTTGAATAAAGTCAAAAAAGGTAACATTTTACAATTATTATAAAATTCATTTTAGGACTGTCTTGGAAGCCATCACCTCGTTCCCTGGGGTTATTATCAACTATGTATTCATTAATATTATAATAACCTTTGATTCAGACTGAAATGATGTATTTTCCACATATGCAGCAATATAACATAAAGCAATACAGTAATTATGTCATCCAAATTCACTAGGCTCCTTCATAAAGTAAATAGAAATTTTAGTTCAATGAACATTACAAATTATACTAATAGAAACTCATTTAAAGTTTAATTTACCACTGGTTCAGAAGATATTTCTGTCGTGGGAAGACCCAGCAAAGAATCCGAGTGAGATAAAAAAAAATACAAGTTACTACTAATACAATTTACTCTTTACTATTCATGTATTCGTCAATAAAACAGTAACCATTTTTATGCAATCTTTGCTTAGATTAATAATAGGTCATCGCGCGCTCTGATTAGATACCGTACTACTTGAAAATGACAGCTCCGTGAATGCTTCATCGCAATATTGTAGTGTGTATAAGACAATTGCAAGGATGCTAGTGTGCGTGCCAGCAGCTTAACTATTACCCGATTAACAGGAAAATTTATTTTAAGCCATACTTAGTAGTCAAGTTCATAATTATGAATGTAGACCAAAAATACTAAAAAATGAATAATCTATAGCGAATGTATCAATATATTTGTGTATATTATGTATAGGTTTTTCTTCTGAATAAATGTCATATAAATGATAATCTTCATTTTTATCAGTTTAATTTTTATATTTAAATGTCTGACTAATATTCACAAATTATTTAAAAATTATTTATATATTATATGGTGTAACCAAAATAGTGCTTTCTATTTCTATTCTACGCGTCAATATGAACATCTTTTACTATAGATCTATCTTCGAAATCGCAAGAAAAATTAGGTCTTCCATACATTTTGAACAAGTTTGTATGAAATTCTGTATGGAATAACTGATTTTGAGATTTTTTTTACAGAATCAGGGTGACAAACGAGCACACAGTCCATCTGATGGTAAGTGGTTGCTGTGGCTCATAGACATCTACATCTACATCTTCGGTTAAGAATCAAAATGCAGATGCGTTGCTACCCCTGAGGACTAAGATGGAATGCCTCGTTTCCAGTAAAAAGGGTCTCCGGTTCTCTACACTCACCATACGAAACAAAACAGCGTTAAGCTGCTATTTTTCACTGGTATTTTGTGAGAGCGTGGTCCTTCCCCGATCGAGCCGACCCATTCGTGCTACAACTATACCAGTAATATAGCTGCAGTGTGGATCTAGCACGTATATTGAAAATTTCGAAGATAATCCCATAATAAGGTTATTCATGTTTACGGGCAGAATCATTCCTAAGTTATTGAGTACTATTTTGTTACAATTTTACTTAGTATATAATGTCGGGGAAAAGGATGGTTTGTATTTTTTATACAAATTCAAGACATTTTTGTTTGAAAGTTTTATTACATTTAATTATAATATATATGGGTCCATTTTGTTCGATAACTTGTTGCGATCTTGTAGGTAGTGACATAATCGCGTTGCTGTAGAAATCTTGGGATTTTTGATTAAGAAAATGCGACAAGTAGTTTTCTTAGATATATTCAATACCAGAGATTTAAAGCAACATGGATTTAGTCATCGCATTTATAATGGAAATAAAAATAATCATCATCATCATCATTACAGCCTTTCATAAGTCCACTGCTGAACATAGGCCTCCCCCAAGGAATGCCACAAAGCACGGTCCTGAGCCACCTGCATCCATCGACTTCCTGCATGCCTTACCAGGTCGTCACTCCATCTCGTGGGGGGTCGCCCTACACTTCGCCTACCGGTACGAGGCTGCCACTCGAGAACCTTTCTTCCCCATCGGTTGTCGGTTCTTCGAGCTATATGGCCGACCCACTGCCACTTCAGCTTACTAATCCGTTGGGCTATGTCGGTTACTCTAGTTCTACTGCGGATATCCTCATTTCTAAGTTTATCACGCAGAGGAGAGTTTTTTACGTGGTAGAGCCATGCTGCAGCTATATTAATAGCATAGTTGTAGCACGAATGGGTCGGCTCGACCGGGGAAGGACCACGCTCTCACAGAATACCAGCGTAAAATAGCAGCTTAATGCTGCTGTGTTTCGTATGGTGAGTGTAGAGAACCGGAGACCCATTTTACTGGAAATGAGGCATTCCATCTTAGTCCTCACGGTTGACAACGCATCTGCATTTTGATTCGCAAACGATGTAGATGTCTATGGGCCGCAGCAACCACTTACCATCAGGTGGACTGTGTGCTCGTTTGTCACCCTTATTCTATATAAAAAAAAGAGAATCTCCGAGCATAGCCCTCTCCATAGCTCGCTGAGCGACCTTGAGCTTCCTCATACGGCCAGCTGTGAAGGACCACGTCTCAGTTCCGGAAGTCATCACTGGCAACACGCACTGGTTGTACAATTTCGTTTTAAGGTTTTGAGGTATGTCTGACGAGAAAATGTGTCGTAGCTTTCCGAACGTTGCCCAGCCGAGTTAAATCCGTCGATTGACCTCTCGGTCGAAGTTGGACTTACCTAGTCGGACTATTTGTCCCAGGTAAACATACTCGTCAACAACTTCGAGCTTAGTGTTCCCAACAACTACCGGCATAGGTGTGACATGGACATTAAACATGATCTTTGTTTTGTCCATGTTCATCTTAAGACCTATCCGTTGGGAAACACTATTGAGGTCATTGAGCATAGTGCTTAGGTCCTCCAGCGATTCTGCCATAAGGACTATATCGTCGGCAAATCGAAGGTGAGTGATGTACTCGCCATTGATGTTGATACCGTATCCTTTCCAGTCCAGAAGCTTGAAAACGTCTTCCAATGCAGCGGTGAAGAGTTTCGGGGATATGACGTCACCCTGTCTTACACCTCTCTGCAATTGGATAGGTTTCGTACTCTGGTTCTGTACTCGGATAGCCATCGTAGCCCTACTGTACAAGCACTTCAACACTTCGATATACCGACAGTCAACTTGGCACCGCTGAAGGGACTGCAGCACCGCCCAAATTTCGAGGTTTTCAGGCTTTCTCATAGTCCACATACGCCAGACATAGTGGCAAATTGTACTCTTAGGACTTCTATACAATTTGCCGAAGGGTATGTATGTGGTCTATGGTGCTAAAGCCCTTTCGGAAACCGGCTTGTTCGGGAGGCTGGAAGTCGTCAAGTCTGCGCGCGAGACGACTCGTAATGACTCTCGAAAACAGCACGTAGACGCGGCTCAGAAGGGAAATCGGTCTGTAGTTCTTCAAGAGAGCGTTGGCACCTTTCTTGAAGAACAAGACCACTACACTTCTGCTCCACGCCTCCGGTGTAATGACACCATGGAAGACGGAATTAAAGAGCTTCTGAAGGACTTCAAGTACCGGTCTTCCACCCGCTTTCAGAAGCTCCGCTGTAATTCCATCCTCGCCTGGGGCCTTACCGTTTTTAAGGTGCTGGAGAGCCATTCTAATCTCGCTCAGACTGACGTCCGGGATATCTTCGGAATAGTGTCGGATGAGACTCGCTCTTGGATCGTTACTCACACTTGCGTGTGGCTTCAACGATATCGTGTACAGCTGCCCATAGAACCTCTCAATCTCCCTCAAAATCCCAGGTGTCCCGGAAACGATGCTGCCACATTCTGTCTTCAGCTTTGACAGTTGGCTCTTTCTGGCAGACAGATCTCTGGCAAAGACTTTGGAGCCTTGGTTCCGCTCGATCGCTTCTTCAATACGAGCTGTATTGAAGTTGCGTAAGTCCCGCCGCATGCCTTTGGAGATCTGTCTCTTCAGATGCCTGTATGCTGTCAAGTCTGTTGAAGAATGTAGCTTCATCTCCCGTCTAACAGCCATGAGATTAAGAGTATGATCGGAGAGTTTTTGTGTTCTTCTGCGGCGGGTCTTGCAGAACTTAGCTCCGACCGCATGGACAGTTTCCACGAGCTTGTCATTCATAGCGTCCACTTCATTGCAGTCTTCTAGGCACTGAAAACGGTTTTGTAACTCGAGCTGAAAGGTTTCGGGACTTTGGATTAGAGCACGAGGGGGACGGAGCGTTGACTTCATTAGACGAGACCTCTCCAACTTAATGTTTAGGTTCAGTGTGCCTCTAACCATTCTGTGATCGCTACCAGTTTTCACCCTCGCGATCACGGAGACATCACTGAACAGTTGTCGTCTGGTCGTCATAATGAAGTCAATCTCTTTTTTGTCGAACCGTCGAGGCTCGATCAGGTCCACTTCCTGTGGGGCCGCTTCTGGAAGAAAGAGTTCATCATAAAGAGTCCCTCTTTCTCCATGAAGTCGGCCAGCTGCTGGCCCCTTGGGTTCCGTTGCCCTATTCCAAATTTCCCTACTTTCAGCTCACCGTTCTCTCTTGTGCCTAGTTTTGCATTGAAGTCTCCCATTAACACCGTATATTGGGTTTTGGAGGAATGCATGGCTCTAGAGATATCCTCATACATTTCCTCCACCTACTCATCGGGGTGTGCCGAGGTTGGTGCGTAAACCTGTATGATCTTCAGCGAATACCGTTTGGTGATTCTGAGTATAAGGTACGCAACCCTCGTCGACACACTCCCGATCTTTACAACGTTGTTAACGAGAGACTTGTGGACGATAAATCCGACACCTCCTTGGGACAGATGGTCGCCCTCCCGGTGATAGAGCAAGTTGCCGGATTTGTGGATTACCGTGTCTTCCCCCTCTCTTCGGACTTCGGATAATCCTATAATATGCCAGCGCAAATTGTCTATCTCTTCTTCCAGCTCCACGATCTTCTCGTCAGTCCTCAGGGTGCGTGCGTTGTACGTTGCCAGGTCGAGTCGTCTAAGGTGGCAACCGAACCTCCACCGGAGATTCTTAGCACCCTCTGCCCCGCCGTTACCATGGTCGCCACCGTAGCCAGGAATAGCGGGGCCGCCGGGGACTGGGGGCCGTCTCTTTGTTGCTTTAATCATTGGGCGGTATTTGTCATAGTTGCCACGCTTGGCGAGCGGGTTGGCAACCGCAGTTTTTTTATTGTAATTTTGGCTATTATCAGGAAGATGCTGCTGCCCATCTCCTGCCTGTTTCCCTTTGTCGCCTTTTACGACAACCACGGGAGGATATGGGGTAGTGGATATTCTTGACCGACCGCCAATATTATTTATATTAACAATAAAAATAATATTCTTAATTATTTAGAACATGCGAAACAATATATTATAAACTTAAATAGTAAAACCTCCAGAAAGCTTTCGTTTAAACACAAACAACAAAAGAAAATAATAATTAAAAATTTTAAACCAGTTTTAAGTACTCATGCAAATACTAGATTTTAGGAATGTTTGTGTGTATTGAAAGTCTCAAACAGATAACTAACCTTGTGGTATGGTGTTATCATGATGAAAGACCAATCCTTTTCTGATGATCAATGCCGGCCGTTTTTTTTCTATTTCTTGCTTGAGTCTCATTATTTGTTGGCAGTAGAGATCAGAATCGATGGTTTTACCAGGCGGTAAAAGCTCATGATAAACGATACGATTCCAATCCCACCATACACACAGCATCATCTTATTGCGTGTTAATCCAGGTTTTGCTACAGTCCGTAAACAAAAAAACATATCAATACAGAAAAAATCACGTTTCTTCTATGACCTTCATACAAGAAACGTGATTTAGGGATCCTTTAATATTTTATTTTATTTTTATTATATGTTGTTATAGCAGCAATACAATTAGCCAATACACATTCTGTGAAAATTTTAAGTATCTACATATTACGGTTCATAAAATACAGCCTGCTGACAGACAGACGGAACGATAGTGGAAACTTAGGTCCCATTGACACTCATTAGGTACGGAACCCTAATAAACGGAAATAATGTTTTAATAATAAAAATATCAATTAATAAAACAACATATAAATATTAGGTCATTTGAGCAATACTACAAAAATAAACATTATATAGAATGGGTCACACCTACATGTTCTAATTTGACAATAAAACCTATATAGCTTTAAAACTATGTTTATGAAAATAACAATAATTTTTGTTTAATACAAATTGGTGCAGAAATACGAAAGTAACACTTTTTTCTTTGTTCAGCAGTTACTTAGTTGTACATGGTTTGGTAAAGTGTGTAATAAGCATAATATATGTTACGGCCTACGGCTGCTCCCTTAAAGGGTCAAATCCTCAGGGGCCCATGAGCTGAAGACTTCCCGAGCAGACGTAGGTCGGGCCTCAATGTGGCCACGTGGAATCTCTAATTACACTAAAATATATGGGGGAGCGTTATACTACGGCCAGTCTACCGGAAGGAATTTGGACGTAGCTTACTTACCTATATCCAGGGCGACTGGTCCCTCCGGAGTCGGTCAGGTCGCATGTCGTTGTGTAGTGCAAGGGAAAGAAGGTGATGTGATGTGTATCTGGGTGTGACTGATGGTGATTGAACCTAGACCTTAGCCGTCGGCAGCAGCCCGGGCGTCGACACCGCTCCAACTTGAGGGGGCCCTCCGAGGCGTTGTCCACATTCACTTTCCTCGTTCGTCACGATGACAGTCAATTAACTCTATCGTGCGATTAACTAACTTACAGAAGCCACTAACTATCGCGGGGTATAAGGTTACCGCACAAAACGCACACGGAGTTTCTGGATCAAAGGTCGCTACCGTTTCCCGTTGCAATAGTTAGTTCTAGAATATCAGAGGCCGCACTAGCTAATATTGCCGAATGCACTTATGCAGATTCTGAGTCAGACACAATGTGTCCCGGGGAAGCTCTCCAGTAGGGATGCGCGCCACAAATCCTAGACCGTATTTTTACTGTCCGCGCTTAATTATTCCGAGTTCCCGACAAAATGACAGCGTGCCAATCGTTAGCACTGCTTAAAGACGACTGCCTGCCGTTGTGCGTTTTTCGCACGACCGAAAGTCAAACCGGTATGAATACACCGCGCCGAGCGCCCTCTCGCGTCAATCCTTGAAACTAGCGCTTGGCGCGAACAATATACCTTAGATAATAAGCTTATTATAGATATTCGTAAACATGATATGTTAGCTACATAGAAAGTTCTGAAAGAGAGAATTGTAAGTGATCCCTTTACCAGTGTGTTTTGATAAACCAATTTATTTCTGTATATACATCACTCTCTGCTTGCGGCGGCGGGGAACACGAATTAGCTACATGCGCTGATAGCGAAAAGCGCATTCAAGACCGCTGAATACAAATTACCAGTGCGAGAAGTACGCTGTATTTCTTTTCTACACTTCTCTGCATTTCTGCACTTACCAACTTGCTTTCGCGGCGTGAAGATTATAGAAAAATCTTCTTAGTATATATATTATGTTAGCATACACACTGAAAGAACTATATTCAAATGTGACTTATAAAGTCATTTGAAGAATCATGCCATGCTATGGCTAGATCTGTTTCTTTAGAATGTTATTAAAATTAAATAATTTATATGATTGCAGAAAAATAACTTCACATCACCCGAATCAGAAGCAATGGCCACTTGCTTGGACTGCATTGTATCAGAATCAGAGAGTGAAAAAAAGCGACCGTGTTTTTGTAAAACAACTCCTAATAAATTAAGCTTAAAACGGAGTGCGTCTCTCAAGGATTCCCCGTCGAAAACTAGAAGAGGATCCAATTTAATACCAGAAAAACGCAGTCTTAGTATGTCGAGTCTCAACCGTAGTCGTTCGGTACAGAAACTCGATTTCAGTATGGACATGAGTATCGACGGATCGGTTCACAATTGCTCACAAGGTAATTTTACAATTTTATTTCCACACCTTATTAAACCTATGTACTATGTGTAACTGGGAAAAAGAATACCACACAGCCTACAATTATTCTATTTCGTTTTATTCTTTTGACCGAAACTAGAGTGCTACCTATCCTAGGCAGAAAAATCAGCCTTAACCCTTTCGCTGTCCCGTGCACTACATATAGGACATTGCTATTGTCTTACTATTGTGTCTGAAAACCGGACAGTGAAAGTGTTAATAACGGTAAAAAGTTGTCGCCTTTCCCGAAATTGGCAGGAAGAACATTATCATTATATGGGGCTGCAATTTATTATCCTGCAATTTAACTAAACAATTACCATTTCATAAAAATTCTATTAAATGTTTTCCAAATCAAATCCAAAAATCTAGTAAGGTATTTTTTTTTTAAATAAACAAAGACAGATTTAAATAAAGTAAAAGCTCAATCTTATAATTAGTTGGGAGAATTTGCCAAAATCGTTTTTTTTTTTTTTACATTTTTCATTGACATTATTTGCCACGCCAGGGCGGACCGCAATAAAACCTTTGACTCTACTCCTTATCGTCTTACATCTATACAAATAAATAAAATTGAAGTGTCTGTTTGTAATGTCAAAATAACAGCTTTTTACTAAATGCATATGAAGGTATTTACGGTACTTATAACAAAAAAAACAATTTTTAAAATTTTTGTCTGTCTGTGTCTCTGTTTGTTCCGGCTAATCTCTGAAACGGTTTGACCTATTTTAACAGGACTTTCACTGGCAGATAGCTGATGTTATAGGGACTAACTTAGGCTACTTTTATTTAACTAAAAGAATTAGGGTACCGCGCAAAAAAATTAAAACCCATGATTTCCAACGGTAAAAAATTCCACGCGGGCGAACTCGCGGGGAACAGTTAGTTTCATATTAATTTCAATTTACTAGCTGTTCCCCCGACTTCGTCCGCATGGAATTTATTACGATTGGATTTCGTGGATATTGATTTTTTTCGCGAAAGTAATTGCTTTTTTAAAATAAAAGTAGCCTAAGTTACCTCTTATAACGTCTGCTATCTGCCAGTGAAAGTCCCGTTAAAATCGATCTAGTCAGAGATTAGCCGGAACAAACAGACATACAGAAAAAATAATTTAAAAATGTTTTTGGGTATAAGTATCTTATATACTTTCATATGCATTTAGTAATTCGATGTTTAATTTGACATTACAAACAGACACTTCAATTTTATTTATTTGTATAGATAAGATGGCAATACTACCATCCATCTGAAGCTGAAGCTATGAGAATTTCTTGGCATTCCGCATAGTCACTTATTACGATAGGCATGGGACAATATTGTCTAAATATTGTACTTTAATTGTTATTTTTGAAAACACTGCATATATTTTAATTCCAATTTTTTCCAGCAGATTCTGAGACCAGTTCTTCACAAGTACCACAAGCAAGTTGGTCTATAGTAGAAGACGCAAGTATTCAACATTTCGTGAAATTAGAATCGTACAAGGAGCAGTCCTGTGATATACAGTCTTCCACTAAGTTAGATAGTGTTAAATTAAATTTACTCGACACGCCGATAAAAGGGAAAAGCAAACGTTCTGTGCTTTCCCACGAGATTAGTAAAATACGCGCGCCTATGGTTGAAAGTCCTGTGCATATGTCGTTAGACAATAGCTTGGATAGCTCAGAGAATCTACTAAGTCTTGAGGATAAGAAGATAGATTTTAACAACGTTGATCTCAAATTTTTGACTGATAATCTACCTCAGTTCACTTATAATACTCAAAATACCATAGTGGTTGGCGAAAGTTCCTCTAGTCTTAAGAGAGTTGATAGTGGGTTCAATGAAAATACGTTCTACGCAAACGCCTCTAGCTATTATGAAAGTGCCATAAAGCCTTCAGAGTTGACCGTGACTAATATTTCTAAAATCAACAGTAGCAATACGGCTTTAAAGGAGATATCCAATGTCAATTGGATGAGAGTTGACAGCGGCTTCAAAGACGAAACTTCTGCGGATAGCACTCAATTTTATCCCCCTAGCGATCTCTCCGTTCGAAAATTTACCGGATTTCGCTTCTCCGAAGCAAAGTTTAACGATAAAGAGAACGCTGTAGAAGATTTCGTGCAGAGAACTAACAAAAACGAAGTTTTATCGATGTCTGACATTTTTACAGAGGACATGAAATTCAATTGCAATTTTTCATCCACGCCGTCTAAGAATAAGTCGCGCAAAGTTAACTCTTAGATATGCTAACAATTTTGTATTTGTTTTTAGTAATCAATTCTGTCAAAGCACGTATGAATTTTGTAGTTCTTTTTTATACAAGACTGGTTAAAACTGATGGCATTTAAAGCGGTTTTACGACGCTATATATACCGTATAATTTCGCCAGTGTGGAAACAGCCTACGCATTTATTAGTTAATAATATTGATATTGTATGTTAGAAAATATTTTTTGACTTTAGTCTACTATTGTGGATTATTTTATGAAATTAATGTTCAGATGTTTGTTTGCCATGACATGACTAAAAAGTTTTGCATGAAATAATTATTTTATTTTGAGAATTGTGTTTACTTGAGTCAAGTAAAATTAAATAAAGCTTAAGACTGGAACGACTACACGTTTAACTGATTTTATTGTGCTATTAAAATATTATAAATACATACTAAAGTTGCTTCTTCAAAATTATCACGTGTCACTTTTCGTTGTTTGACAACTAGTTGTTTTAAAACTATAATCAACGAGAGCTAACAGTAAGGTAAGTTAAAAATTTTAGTTATGTAAGTGAAACTTCAATGACTGTGTGAAGTTTGATGTATGGAAAATGAAAATTGGCGAGAAAAATGAGCCTGGATCAGACAAATGCTTGGTTGATTTGGTGCAGCTGATGGACTCCCTACGTTGCATAATATGTATATTGGGCGCTTTGCTAAAAAACTCCTGACTTAAAAAAAAAACGTTCACTTGCGGACACAGGCGTGGATATGAGATCTATTCACAACGCTAAAAACAATGGAAAACATTGAAAAAACGCTAGTGCTAACAATGTCTTACATTTCTGGTGCTTGGATGGACGTAGCCTTATTGTGCAGCAAACACTTCCGCTCTTCTATATACCACCAGGTAATGTGATACCGCCCAAGAATCTAGCAAAGCCCAAATTGCGACGGGATCGCGTATTTTTTCACCATTCACATACGCAAGACGAAGCGAGTGATTGTGCTATTCGGTCTTCTGTACAATTTGCCAAACAGTATGTATGTGGTCTATAGTACTATATCCTTTTCGAAAATCGACATTTTTGGGTAGCTGGACCTAATTGCTTGTTTTATGGTTGCGGCTTAAGAATCCATTGTCCTATCTAGTTTCGTGGATTCCGCAAAAGTTATAATATAAGAAGTCTTATAATTTTATGAATTTCTCGGTAGGTACTGCCTTTTGTCTTAGAAACTCCGTTAATCCGGTAAATTCTATTTATTATGGGAGAGAGAACCAAGTCACACTGAACAGTTTTAGATGAGATGATTATAATAATGTAAATAATTTCGTTGGATAAGATAGTAGATATAGTAGTAAGATAGTATATATCAGTGTTTTACAACCTGTGGTCGCGACCCCCAGGGGGTCTTTCTAATTTCTTCGACAATCTTCGGAAAGACACACCCACACCTTATTTTGTAAAGACGCTGACCACAAATGAAGGTTCGCTAGGACTTATTTAATATTATCCTGGGCCTTAAGAATGTTTTCTACTCTCCCTTGGAAGCTCTTATTTAAACCATTAGGTGGTCAAAAAGATCAGCGAGAAATGGTAATTTACATTGCCAAGCAGAGTCGCAATAGAATAGAAAGAAAATTCAATAGTGCGTCGTTTTAGAAATCAATGACAAAGTTTTATTATGGACCTGGGTGGAGGGGGGTTTAATTTGTAAAGGGGTCGCCCAATCTCAAGTCAGTCCATGATTGGTCCATGCGCTTCGAAGTAGATACTCACAGATGTGAACCCTACGAAATGCCAAGCGATGTTTATAGGTAGCTCGAGAATGCATACATGAACTGATACCGCGAGGGTACTTTCCGTACCGCTTTCTACTTCAGTTAACACATTCACTATCCGGTTTCAGACACAATAGTAAGACCATAGCAATGTACAATATGTGACTCATGGAACAGGGAATCGGTTAAATTTCTTGGTCTCCATATTGATAGAACCCTGACCGTGGAGGGTGGGGGGTCCATATCTATCGCCTTCTCAACAATTGCATCAGATACATTTTCAGTTTTTGTAAATACGATCATATCTCCTAATATGGCTCACCTCAAAACAGAGGCGTGACTAGAATTTTGCTTGTTCGTTTATATCATTTAATATAGAGAAGAACTCTATAGTTTAAGATAGACTTGGAAAACGCTTATGAATGAGTGGACAGGGATGTTTTATGGCAAACACTGAACTCATTTGGGTTGAGCGCTGGATTGAGACTGGAGTTAAAATCTCTTTATAGGGACTAATGCTCGTGTCAGGATCAACGGGGCCTAATCGGCCTGGCCTATTTTAAATGTTCCATCCACTCTCTTTACCTCAAGGGTAAATTTCGGTATCTTTCCTCAAAGCATTATATAACTGCGTTCTTCAACTAATTATAAATTAAGTATCCTCACACACACATTTCACAAATTTCGTTGGAGAATCCTTCATCATTCAGGCTGCACTTCTATGGAACTCCTTTCCCGAAGACGTTAGAAAAATACCTAATAATCGCCTTTAAAAGATTGCTACGTAAATACTTTTTAAAGACATCAAATGTTAGTGTTGTCAATATTATCATTTGCTTACCTTTGTTGGTAAGTTTATGTTATACTACTCGTACCTACTTCCCCGCGACTTCGTCCGCTTGTAATATCTGTTCCCCGCGACTTCACCCGCGTGTAATTTAGGGTTTTAATTTTTTTTGCGCGGAACCCTAATTATTTTTCTAAAATAAAAGTAGCCTAAGTTACTTCTTATAATATCAACTATTTGGCAGTGAAAGTCCCGTCAATGTCGGTCCAGCCATTTCGGAGATTAGCCAGAACGAACAGACAGACGAGACAAAAATATAAAAAATTGTGTTGTTGTTATTAGTAACGTATATAATTTTATATGCATTTAGTAAAAACCTGTTATATTTGTCATTACAAACATACTCTTCAATTTTATTTATAAGTTTATTATGTTATATATGTATTTGTAATGTGTATATATATATATATATATATTGGTATATTTTTTCTGATTTACTATAATGTTTTTTTTATTTTTGGCACTGTGGCGGCGCTGTCATCGCGCCACAAGTGAAACGCACCGAAGCCAGGATCACGCTATCAAAGTCCCAAAGTTACCGGGCTATGTACAGAACAGCTCTGAAATATGGAAATAACACACGTAGCATTGATCGTTCCAGACCAGGTGTTCAGTCCGGCGGTAGATCTCCCCTTTTTCTTCCACATCCACGGCCAAAGCACCTATCACACTATTTTCACGGATTAACTGGGAGAGAATGCCAAAAGGCATCCGTCCTTCGTAATCATTTTTATTAAGGTGCACAATAAAGTATAAATAAATAAATATATCGCTAGTTTTCTGTAAATTCATACCACACTATAATGTAATAAAATAACAGCAACAAATGTCTACAGCAGACATGCAAGGGAATGCTTGTTCGTATTTCCCATGATGTATGAAAGATTATCTAAGTAAATTGATGATGGATTTATTGAAGTAGTTCTAATTTCTAGTTTGCAAATCAATATTTCTGACAAACACTTTATCTGAATAAATTTTTTGTTTATTAAATAGAACATTTCATAATAACCAAGGATACTAAAGAAATTTGACTATCTATGTATTCATTACTTATTATTATTACTTCGATGCAATTATGAAAGTGTTTTTGTTTTCCTTTTTAATTTCGTTCGTAATTAGCAGTGACTTATTAAGTTGTTTACAGATTTTAACAGAAAAACAAAGTGTACTTGTATGTATGTATTTCAATCGACCCTAACTATCGTATTTATTTATTGTATTTGCAATTAGCGAGACACCTATAGTGCGTACTTATTATGCACAGCAATGGTCAGACTGTTCGTGCGTCAATCGTTTTTAACAAATAACCGTAAGCATGATAACGTCCTAACCTTTGTTATCGTGGCATCCCGGAACGTCTGCGAACTAAAGGCAATGCGGATCTATTAAGTTATTTATAAAATATAGATAATCATTTTGTCTGTCTGGGTTTTTCGTAAAGCGCGGGTTTTGTTTTCTATGTTACATGAGTTTAGAAATTATTCTATTGAATATTTTTTGCTATTATTGTATGTATCTTATCAAATGAGTAACGAGATTCCAGTTCATATTGTTCTGGTTTGTTTTTATAGCAGGAATACTCGCGACTTTTCCTAATTTAAAAATATTGTCAGTTGTCGTGTGCATTTATGAGCTTATATATAAACAACGAACGCCTAACACTCACCATCACACTGTCATTTGATCTGCCTGTAACCAGCTGTATTGCTCGCGCCAAACGCTGATCGTATTTCATTGAACAGAACTGTTGATAACGTCGTGATATTTAGTTAATTATTCGAATTGCGAAATTTTTACTTTTCAAAGTTTTTACGTGTTTCGCAAACGACGATGTATAACAAAACCAGTGCCACATTGATGCTGCAAACTATAATGGTGTTGATGGAGAAGCAAAATTCGACGGATGTCACTCACTTTCCCAGCAACTTTTACGGTAACTTTTGTTTTACTTTTTATAGGCTTCAATAGCACTGTGTAGCAATAGCACTATAACATATATCTATACGGTTAATAATTTTATTGTAAATAATCACTTGGCATGATTTCATCGGTGATTTTAATTGATTTGTCTGAATTAATAAAGTTTAATTTTATAGTTTTATATTAGTTAAAGATTTTTTATTTATGTCGTTACTAACTGTTAATGTCGAAAATAAGAGTTTTGTCGACCACGTTGTTTTTTGTAATAATGAAACACGTGCTTAAAACTCGATCCCACATTATTAGTCGAGATATGTATATTATCCTAATTCTATAATTATTATTTTGCCATTATTCTATTCATTACCGATTATTATTAATTTATTATATTAATTATTCAGATAAGAATATGTTTATGTCAAATTTTATGTACAGTATAGACAAAAACGCGTGAAGATTTCATTCATTGAAACATAC